CACGGTCCGGAACCCCAGCAAGCGGAAGCCAGCTCCATTTCGGCATCCAATTCTGGAGAAAATGCATTCCCACCAAAAACGATTCAAGAGGAGCGCCTCCGGGTGTGCCGTCCTACGCGATATGACTGGCGACGAGATGCAGAGGCTGTAGAGGAGTTCCTCAATTCCCTAGACCTATACCTCCGCCTTCAAAATGCCCCAGAACAATTCCAACTCCTCCTGGCCTCTTCCTTGTTAGAAGCGGACGCACGCCGATGGTGGCTACACTTAAGCAACGGATCCACGTTCCCGGAGCACATCAGGTCCATGCAGGCCTTCCGGGACGCGCTACGTTGCAGGTTTATCCCGACGTCCGCAAGCGAGCAGGTTATGGCAGAACTGAGAAAGCTTAAACAGGGAAAACTGTCAATAGAGCGCTACATTGAGAAATACCAGTCCTTGGTGAACCGAAGTCCTATGGTAGATGCGGAGCTCCACAACAATTGGTTTATAGCGGGGCTGGCCCCCGGAGTGAGGCAAACAGTGACTGGCTGGGCCACGGACAGGGAAATGAGGGGCGGAAAAGTGGAACTCGTCGCAGAATGGAAAAGAAAAACGCCACATTCACAGCCTTAGCTGAAAAGGAAGAAAGAGGGCACGGGAACAATCCCGATTTGGAACCAATGGATATTGGGGCTGTGAACACCAAGCCAGCTAAACACGGGGCTAGAGGCGGCTACCGTCAGCAGACGGCGACCTCACCACCTAAAAAGCAAGAAGGAGACTCTGAACGGCGTACCTGCATCTTCTGTAGTAAGCCGGGTCACGTATTTCGAGATTGCCGGCTTATGAAAAAGGCTAGGGAACAACTGAGACCAAACGCCGAACAGCGCCGCCAAGGGAACAAACAGAGCAAGCAGGGAAACGCCCGGGCCCCTACGCAACGTGCGGCGCAGTGAAGGGGCCACGCGAGATAACGGCCGCACCTACAGACCCACCTCGAGTCGATTCAGTACTCGTCCAAGTACGAATAAAGGGACAGGATTTAATGGCCCTATTCGATACTGGATGCGAAGCGGAGATGATATCGGAAGCCGCAGCAAGGAGGTGCAGCCTACCAGTCTACTCATTGGCGCAATCTCTGAGGCTACGCTTCGCAGATGGCAGGCAGGATACTAGAATCGGCAACATTATGGGCGTAAAATGCTCCATCAGCTCCAAAACAGGGCACATTCCTATGACTAGGGACTTCTACGTTGGACCTGTTCACCACGACATAATCCTAGGCATGCCGTGGGTGACCCAGTGGAAGGCGCAATAGCGTTCCTCTGATTGTGCCATAGAGGTCATTCAGCCTGGAAGTGATGAGAGAGTGTACCTCTCGGCGCTCCCAACGGCATTTGCATCCTCTATGGTTCGAGGTGTGGAGACTGTGTCCGAAGAAAAGGGGAGCAACGAGGCTT